TATAGTCTTGTTGGTATTATGCAGAGCGCAAGCAAGCTCTTTTGATGAAGATCGCATCTGTGAGGGAAGTTGTACTAGGTGCTCCACTGAGTGTAGTTCTTAAACATCTTTCTTCGAGGACTGTTGCTCCTGGTGTAGATGGGCTTCTGGCCCTTGTTCATCGACCTAATGAGTCCTTTTTCCTTTTTCCTCAGGTACAAGCATATTGGCGTGTTTGAGCCTTTGTTCTTGTTATCATTTCTGTCAGTAAATGTTTAGAGAATATTCACTAGTATCAAGATCTACTTGTCATGTTCAAGTTATCGCAAAACCAAAATTCCATTGATATATCTTGAGTGGAGATTGTAACCATTCATGGCAGGCTGAAAGAGTGTCGGTAGTATATCCAATGAGATTCAGCGACTCTGTGGATACTACATATGCAGCTTCCTTCCTACAGGTATATTCTCACCTTAGTATCCTACTTTGAAAATGTCAGTAGTTGGCTAGTTGCTATCTAGTCATACCATTATAAAAATTAGATATTTACGAGTTGGTGCTGTTCTTGCATAAAATTAATGGCTTGATGAGGAGCTGGTCGAAGTAAAGTTTATATCACCGGTTTTTCTCCACTGGCCTTGGTTTAATTGCAACATTGACCTCCCTACAAGTCCTCGTTAACCTTATTTTACTAACTCAACTGAATCTCCTTTTTCAAACCCTGATATTTTTTTGACCAATCTGAATACCGCTGGTACCCTAGCATTCTCTTACATTTCCTTGCTTGATGTTGGTGAATTCCTGGATATTTTTTAGGTCATTTTTCATTTTTTTTTTTTTTTCAATTTTCATTCAGGAATTTGTGGAAACAAGGCGTACTGCTGGACTTACTAGTGCCCCTGTGTGTTCCTGGTCGCCTGACCCTCCTCCCGAATTAAAAGAAGCTTCTGCTGAACCATTATCTGCAAATGCTGGATTTGTATCCTTTGGTAATGTTGTGATTAGTCCTGAATGAAACTGGTTTGCACTTTGATTCTTTTGGTAGCTGATCCATATTTTGTCCTCCTGGTTGCAGTTATTTATCCCCGTCACGTGGAGGGCAAGAAGCTGGACAAGACAGTGTGGAATCTGTCAACATTTCATGCATATGTTAGTTATCATGTTAAGGTCAGGTTCCCCCATTAAAAGAGAAAAGAACTGTACAGATGATTGCTTATATTTTGTTTTTCTTCTCAATGATTTATGCAAGGTTTTGTAACTGGTACAGACTGATAGCCTAACGTCCAAAACCTTGGAAATGCTGAATATCCCACTCTTGTAGGACTTGAATTGCACAAAAGTCTGTTACTCGGTTGTGAAATTTTGCTTGGCTGGAAAATGGCTTAAGTAACTGAGAAGACTGCTATATTCTAAAACGTTTCCCTAGTGTAGTCAGTACCTCTGATTTGAATTAGGTTAGAAGATGTTTAGTTTATGACTCACTACCTTTGACTGTCTGAATGCTTCTTGATCACAAATGTTTCATCTGTTCAGTCCCTTTGAATTCCATTCCATCAACTTCTTATCTATCCTGATCTTCATTAAACAGTGCACAGAGGCTTTCATGCATACTCGAATGAGGAGGAGGGTGGAGGGTATGATACAGGTAATATACTCCTTAATTCATTCATGTTTATCTTGCATTTGTTTCCCGGGTCACTCATACAGAAAATCAAGTATGGTATTTCTTGATGTGCCTTGAGAAGCCAAGGGGCAAATACTTAATCGATTGAAATTAGGACCTAGTTAGGTAGCTGGGGTGGTAGTGGATCTTGTTCTGAAATATGGTTCTCTAAGTTGAAAATAACTAGTAAAGGGCGCCAGTGATTAGACTCCTTTAAACCTTCATCATTTGGAATGAACACAAAAATATCCTCTGGCAGGTACAGAACCACCCAAAGTTTAAAGGGGCTTTTGCCATTGTGTTTTGTCTGCAGGCGTTGGATCAAGCAAAACCAGAATCAGAGGAAAAAACAAAATCTCCAAACAATCGATCGTTCAAACGGCTGGTAGGTTTCTGTTAACTGATACACGCAGACTCTGGACTACAGATTGATGGTATCGATCTGATACACAATTTTGTTTTCTCTATCATGCCTGGCCATTGAATTTAGAGCATCAAAGAAGGCCGAACAAATTCAAAATCGTGAAGAACGGAAAGCTTGGTTTGTGGTGCCCCTTCTTGATCAACATCGCCCATCCACCTCCAAAGTTGAGGTTACTATATTGTTTCCCTCCGAGAGGCTGGGAAATAGGAACTGGTTGACGTGCACGAATTCTTATTCAAACTCCAACCTGGTAGGAGTCCGATTTTGATGGCTTTGTAAAGGCTATTTCTTTTTGTTCTTTGCAAGTGTAATCTTCAGTTGCTTTGCTAGCTCCTCTCGAGACCTTCAATTTTATCTTTATTTTCTTTATCATTTTCTGCTGTGAGATCAAACTTTCAACTGCTCTGGAAGATGTTCATGTGATCAGGTCCCCCCAATGGATAAGCTTTTTGATACAGAAGATAAGGCCAACGCAGTAGCAGCTTACCAAATATTGCATCTTTTTCTTTTTCTTCTTCTTCCTTCCACCTATAAGTGGTTCATTTCTATATCTCAAAGCAAAAGAAAATCTGAAAGTAGATTTTTCAGGGAAAGCGAAATCTTGTCATTCAGTGAGTTGTAACATAACCATTGCGGTTATGATAAGCTCTTTCTCGAATGCAAATGGCAGTTCATGCCAAAATGGCATCACCGTGGGCCAAACTCACAATCAGGAGGAAGGTTTAAAAGAATTTGAGACTGAAATGTAAGAAATTTGATTGCTTTTAAGAGGGAAACCAACGGACTGCAAAGAGGCAAGTTGATTTTTGTACAACGAGTGGGAGCAGAGCATGAACGAAAGAATTTTCTAACCCCCCATAAAAAGAGGAAAAAATCCAAAAATACCACTGTTTAAAAAACAAATTCCAAAAATATCACCCAACCCCAAAAATTTTCAAAAATACCACCCTTTTTCAAAAACCGCCACCCCACCCAGCGGTTTGGTCAAAATTTTTTTTTTTTTTCGATCAACTCCTAACTTCGGCCGAAACTTCAAACGAACGTAACTTTTCACTCGGGTATCCGATCGTAGCGATTTTTTTTTCATTTCGCATAACTTTTCAAGATCTACAACTTTTACTAGGATGAAATTTTCAAAAAGGGAACTATTTGTGGATATACGGGACCTTGGGAATAACTTTACCTTTACTTTTCACAAATCCATGTATATTTTGAAATTATGATTATATTAAAAGTTGTAGATCTTGAAAAGTTATGTGGAATAAAAAAAAATTCATGAAATTCGGATTTTGGAGCACAAAGTTATGGCCGCCCAAAGTTTGACGAAATCAAAAAAAGGCTCGTTCGGGGTGGCAAATGATGTTTTTTCGAGACGAAGGCGGGACCCGGCGATTTGTGGCTTGCAAGATCTCAAAAAGTTATTCGGATTCAAAAAATGGAGGCCCCAAAGTTTGACGAAATGGAGGCCGCAAAGTTATTCGGATTCAAAAAATGGAGGCCCCAAAGTTTGACGAAATGCGAGACCCGGCAGTATGCGGCTTGCAAGATCTCAAAAAGTTTGCGGCCTCCATTTTTTGAATCCGAATAAATTTTTGAGATCTTGCAAGCCGCAAACCGCCGGGTCCCGCCTTCGTCTCGAAAAAACGTCATTTGCCACCCCGAACGAGCCTTTTTTTTATTTCGTCAAACTTTGGGCGGCCATAACTTTGTGCTCCAAAATCCGAATTTCATGAATTTTTTTTTTCTTCCACATAACTTTTCAAGATCTACAACTTTTAATATAATCATAATTTCAAAATATACATGGATTTGTGAAAAGTAAAGGTAAAGTTATTCCCAAGGTCCCGTATATCCACAAATAGTTCCATTTTTGAAAATTTCATCCTAGTAAAAGTTGTAGATCTTGAAAAGTTATGCGAAATGAAAAAAAAAAGCGCTACGATCGGATACCCGAGTGAAAATTTACGTTCGTTTAAAGTTTCGGCCGAAGTTAGGAGTTGATCGAAAAAAAAAAAAAAATTTGACCAAACCGCTGGGTGGGGTAGCGGTTTTGGGTCAAACCGCCACCCCACCCAGCGGTTTGGTCAAATTTTTTTTTTTTTTTATAACCACTCCCTAGGCCCGCGGTTTGCATAGAAAACCACTTCCGACAAACTGTTTTCGTGTAAACCGCAGGGTGGGGTGGCGGTTTTTGAAAAAGGGTGGTATTTTTGGAAATTTTTGGGGTTGGGTGGTATTTTCGAAATTTTTTTTTTAAACAGTGGTACTTTTGGATTTTTTCCATAAAAAGACAGACCAAATTCCCAGAAAGGAAAGGGGAAGTGAACAGAGAAAACCAGGCAAAAAAGCTGCTGCCAGCACCCAATCACTACAATATCCATTTTCCTGCATTGCAGATTCAATATCCAGTTTGAAGCCGATGAGAGATGAGATGAGTGCGAGGCAGATAACTTGATGAGAAATGTTTTGTTGGATGGGGAAATGCAAGAATGGTGGATGAAGTTTGCAGCAAAGGGTGGGGAATGTTGGCATTGGCTGTATCCCTCTTCCCTTCCCCAGTCGCAACGAGGAACCATTGAAATACTTTTATCACTGTTTGTATGTACCGGAGGCAGGCAAGGATGATGATGATGATGATGGCGGCAAGTAAAAGGGGTTTCTCCGAAGGCAAGCAATCAATCAGTGACCGCGCGAAGAAGCAGAGGCAGATAAGCGAGGGTGCTGTGGCCGCAGGCTGACTGAGAGGGGGAGCTCCTTTCCTTCTCTTCTTCCTCTAATGGCAATGAGAACCAAGCAGAAAAAGGTCCCCCCAACGAAACAATTATTCATTTCACTCACTCTCTTCACCCCCCAATAAGTAAAACACATGGTGGCTCATCTCATCTGACCTGCAGCACGGCCTCTTCTTTCTGTCTATCGGTCCGTCTTCTTTCATCACTCCGATTCACTGTCCATGCTCTCCATCCCCTTCAATCCTCGCCGTTTCTGCTGCTGCTAATCATAAACCAACCGCGGCACCACAAACACAAAATTGAAACTATTAGACACACACCAATTCAGCAGTAGCATACCACAACGACAAACCAACCATGACTTGTATGTAAGTTTTACTTCCTCTTATCTTTAGACCATTTTTCTCAACAACTCCTCTCCAGTCTCCACAACAAGTTATCATGAAAACTTTCCCCCACCACCAAACCACCCCGTCCCAAATATAGCGACTCAGTACTGTTCGTGTCATATTTTTATATCATTTCATCCCATCTTATGAACGCTTCCCTATGTTATCATTTAAAGCGAAAATATTAAAAAAAAAAAAAAACAAAGTAAAAGATCCATCACCCTGTACATACAGCAACCAGTAATTATGGATTGACCACCTGACCTGACCCAATTTCCCTGCCTGCCTAATTATAACAAGGTATCGCCCAACTGAGCAGATTTTAAGCAGATACAGCTGGTTTATGCAGTTTGCAGGAGGGGGGCTTGGCTTTTTCAATAGCAACTCCATTAACAGAAAGACCAAATCTAAGAATAGATTCCTATCTATTCTCTTCTCTTCTTTTTCCTCTCTCTACAGAGCTACTGCACATGTACCTGTGAATTTGCAGCACACCGAATAGTTGGTTTCAAAGTTTCAACTGCTCCTCCTCGCAATCCCCTACTGGCTCGGGATGTCAGAAAAAAGGAGGAAGAAAGTTTCTTTCTTTTCAGTATGTATATGCATTATCTAGCTTAGCTGCCTGTCTGCCTAGATATCTAGATCGCGTTATCTTATACCAAATCTCAACCTCAAGAAACAGCGGGAGGGAGGGGGCAGAGATCTAATCTCCATAGGCTATCTAAGTGGGTGGTTATTTGATTTCCTCCATTTTCATTGCCCTCCTTTCTAATTTAAAATAATTCGGCACCAACATGATAGCTTAGAGAGAGAAAGAGATTCAAAGTGGAGAGAGCATTTACCTTCTTCACACTCTTCTTCTCCCTTACTTCGTACCTACTCTTTGTCAAATCAGACAGCCACATCCCTGGATAGCAAAACTGCCCACCCCAAAGAACAAAAAACATCCCATTATCATCCGCACATGCAAACATCACGGATCAGATTTCTGGGTTACAATCCAAAAACCCATTCCAGAGTTACAAACAAGCATATATGCAGATTGCTGATCAATGGGTTCTCGTTATTAAACTTATTTTATTTTATTTTATTTATGGTGTTCACAACTAAAACGTCCATTATTTACCCAGAAACAAAAAAAAAAGCATAAAGCTTTCAAAAGGTTTAGCTGGATTTGTGTTACCTGAAGCCCTCTATCAACATTTTTGGCCCTCTTCTTGGGCCGTTGAGGAAGCTTGGTGCCTTTCATTACCAGGAAATCATCCTCCTTTTCCTTCCTCGACAGTGACAGAAAAATCCTCGGCCACTCCACCGCCAATCTTTCCACCGGGGCTGCCGCTGTATTATTATGAACAGCTGCACCACCACGGCCACCTTCATGGTCGAATTGGCCTGAAGTTGACTCTACGTGGTGGCGGCCGTGCCCGTGATGATGATGATCAGCAGCTGCTGCAGCTTGGTGGTGGTGATGCAGCAAAGCAGCAGCTGCTGCTGCTGATCCATTCAATTTCTCATCCCTGCTAGACCGAGAGGTGGGCTGTTGCTGTTGGTGCTGAGCCTTTTTATCAACTTTGTCTGGAGTCGGAGGAGATCTTTTCCCCGCCGTAGTAGATCTAGAAACCAGCCGGCTTCCACCGCCACCACTAGCCCGAGACGGGGACCCGTTCCCAGCAGATCGCTTTTCCAAATTCCTGGTCATCGCCACAGCCACCATACAACCCACCACCACAAAAGAATGAAAGAAAAAAAAAAAAAAACAAGCCCACAGATTAGTTAAGAAAAAAACAAAGGCTGGCCTCGTTGGTTCTCTACAATCTGTTGTGTTATGTCCGCGTGTACGAGACTTAAGAAAGAGAGACAAAGACACAAAGTTAGAGAGAGAAAGAGAAAGGGAGAGAGAATTAATTGTAAAGAGATATGCAAGGTTGGGCATTTGGGCATCTGTAGACTTTGTGAAGTCCAAAAACCCGAACCCAAATCCACAGAAACAAATAAAGAAAAAAGAGCTGATGAATCAAACGAACGCAATTAAATAACACAGCCAAACAAAGCTAATTTATCCCTCCCCAAATCATCACCACCACCACCACCACCACCACCACCATACAGCCAGACAGTCGTCCTGGCCATCACCCACCTTACAAAAGTACAAAATCATCATCAGCAGCAGCAGCATAACTGAGTTAACAAGAAGACACCCTCAGTTCCTCACCCCATCTTATTAGATCCTACAAATCAAATAGCAAGAAATTTTTTAAAAAAGCCAACTATGAAACAGTGAGATTCAACCAACCAACCCAAACTCCCAAATACCCACAACCAGAAATCCACAAAAGATTTCATCTTTCGACAGTGGAGATATGCAGACGGGTAGACAAAGGGAGGAGGTTTGATCCCTCCCACCATCAATCAAATCCACGACACCAGTAGATTCAGCTAGCTAGCGCACTATGGGCGATAATGCTGATGATGGACAGGTGAAGATCAGGAAAGTTAGAAATTACCTCGTCCTCCCTACTCCTGTCATGACAAAAACCTCCAACCCCAGAAATGGAGGAAGGGCCAGGCTTATACGATGCCTTCTCCCAAACCCCACGAATCGGATTGGCTACTACTATGTACTAATAACAGACAATCGTCAGAGAAACTATTAACTAGACAAGTCTATCTCTCTATTCTTTTCTAGTTTTCTTCCTTCCTCTCCTTTTGGGAAAATTGGAATACCCGCTTGGCCAACGAAATGAAAAGTCAGGAATCCAGAATCACTCAGTTCGCCATATATATTCTCTCGAGGGGGTAGAACCGTAAATCACTCAAATGGCTGCCTAACGAAAGTTGCTTGCTACTATCAATCACAGGGACGAACGACTTTGCTGGATTTCCAAAAACCAATTAGGAGTCAGAATGATGAAAACAACTGCTCTTTTTACAAAGCAAATCAACCGCCAAATTGGTTGATTCTAAATCCCTAGATTGAATGGATTTCAGTTAAAAATCCGCAAAAGATAGAAATACATATATTTCGGGTTTACCTATGCGGGAGGAGAGCGGCGGTTTCTTTCCTGAGGTTGCCTCCCCTGCCGTTGGTCGTTTGCTGGGGATGTTGTGCCGCCGCCGGCGGAGGAGGCTGCATAGAGGGAGCCGGCAGCTTGCTGCCGTCTAGTCTCCTGGGGTCCTTAGAGGCGACGGGTTGTTGCCTGGCTTGACCGGAAGATGAGGATTCATCGGCCAGAGCCCGGATCTCCGACCGGGATACCCTCGCCCTCTTCTTCTGACCCCATTGCAGCAACATATCGCCGCTCCCACCCCGGCTGGGTGGACTAACCTCCCGTTTATCGGAGCGCGAAGGGCTCCCGGCTGCGACGCCATTGCTGCTGCTGCTGTGGTGGTGAAAATCCTGCGTTCTGGACGGCGATCTGTATCTGAACCCTTTGATTTCGTAACCCGTGGGGGACGAGCTGGCTCCGTTTGGGATTGACCGCCCGCTCGTGCCGACGGTGCTGGTGGGCTTCTTGCCGTTTGGTAAAGGGAGACAATCTGGGCTTACGCTCTGATATCTGCAACCAATCCAATCAGAAGGAAGCCATGTTAATCAAAACAACCGAAAACGGGAAACACCAATAGATCATATAAGATCCACACGAACTGAAGAGAACGCTGCAAGAACATAAGGCTAATTAATCTACTGGAATGAAATGGAGGAACCAGTGAGACTGGGCGGATAACTGTTACTGAGCGAGACTCAGACTGGGTATTCAGCTATACACCAAACAAGTGAGGTAATTGAGGTAGTGTAATCGGTGATTTCCGAAGAAGGCAGAGAGCACTGAGACTGAATAGTAGGGATAGAGAGTGGGGTGTTTTGGTGGAATTGCAAGAAGCAGGGAGGGATTTAGAGAGTGGGGTATTTCTGGAATCTGGATCGTCCCCACTGCTCAAATTGGGAACAGCAACCGGGAACTGTACTGATAGAAAACCCTAGAACAGGGGTGGATCTTTTTCTCTTTTCAGGGAATTCATTTCCAATGTTACAGAGAACTTGAATCATCCCAATTCACACTACCGGGAGAAAGAACAAGATTCACGCAAAGAGTCCTCTATCCATTGCTCCTCGGCCAAGAGACATTGCCGCCGCTGCAAACAGAAATCTGGAATCTGCCGATGGAAAACATTACTGGAAGAGACGAAGGAGGAGAAGGGGAGAAGGAGAAAGTGAGCGAAGCAATAGAGGAAGAGCCAAACAGACTGCGGCGGCGGACAGAGACCAAGAAAGCAGCAACAAACAACAACAATGAAAACCGGATCCAGAAATCGAAACGCCACTTGGCTAATACGACCTCAGCGATCAGAGGAACAAACAAAATGCTGGTCACAAGTCCAACAAGAAATTTGGGGAGAAAGAAGATCAAACACACCTCAAAAGAACCCATGACTCTAAAACACAAAGCAGAATCTCAGAATCATCGAACACAAACTCAAAAAGAAAACCCAGAACAAAGAAGAAGAAGAAGAAGAAGAAGAAGACCAAAAGAGATAAGACGAGGAGTGAGGAAGAAGAGGTCACGGACCTCATCATTGTAACCATAAACAAAACAACTGGAGAGGAAATTCAGATATGCCTCGTCGGAAGAAGGAATAGCTCTTTCCTCGTCTTTCTTCTCCGGCTCCTCGTCCGGCTATTCTTGTCCGCCACAAACAAATCACACACCAACCCCCCTTCCGCCGAAAGATTTTGGGTTAGGAGTTAGAAGAGGGAAGAGATAAGGGGCGAAGAATGGAAGGTAGAAGGTGAAAAGGAAAGCGGCGAGAGGAGAGAGCCGAGACAAGAAGGGAGGAGAGAGCAGAGAACAGAATGAAAAACAGAGGAAGGCACCCAGAGAAGAGAAGAACACACAAAAACAATGTAGGAAGGAGGCGATGAGACGAGGAAGAAATAAACATAGAGAAAAAGTAAAACAAAAATTATATTTAATAATAAAATACTTAAAACCCCTTATACAGTGGGGGAAGAAGGGAATGGAAAGAGGTAAGGTGAGTTGAGTAAAGTTGTCAAACCGGATTAAGTTATTAAGCAGATTTGGCAAAGAGTTTAATGGTTAGATTGTGGTTCAATCCGGCTAAATTAATTTTGTTTGACACTGCTTAAAATTTATAATAGACACCTCTTCTCTTACCCTAAATAAATTACTAAAATCCAAACTTTCAAATATTATTATTATTATTACTCTTACACTTCTCTTTGCAATTTTCAAATTCCAAAAAACCATAAATATATATCGCAAGCTGGCCCAAATAAAATGGAATTTTTTTTAATAAACAAATGAAAGAGAAAGAAGCCCCAAAATTATAGGTTTTCCTCAATTCTTCCCCGAACACTTCTGATGCGGCTTTTTCAAAATACACACGTTTTTAAAAAGAATTTCCGAAATAAACACGTTTTATGAAAATTTAATAATCTATACATATTTGGACATCATTGCGGCAGACAAACGCAGTGAAATGATCACTGCGGTAGATGACAGCAGTGAATGCCTGATTTGCGCTAAAATTTCAAACAGACGTAACTTTGCTCTGTTATCCGATCGTAGCGATTTTTTTTCGCATAATTTTTAGAGATCTTGCAAACCGAAAACAGACAAAGGCAGTTTGTTCTCGCCTTCCCCGAACGAGCAATTTTTTTTATTTTTCCAAACTTTGGAAGGGGGCTAGGATCAGGTGACTAAGTCAATCTCAGCCCTTCCACCTCATTAAAATCTAATGGTTCAGATTAATCCATTTTAATGAAGGGTAATGTGGTAATTATATAATTAATTTATTTAATGATTAAAAAATAATCCAACTCTCCCCGTCCGCATCCGCGCGCCTATTCCCTGGGCATTTTCCGGCGAAGGCCGTCCGCATCCGCGCGCCCGTTTCCTGAGCATTTCCCGGCGACCTGCACCTCAGTTCCCAGGGCCATGGGATTAATTTCCCCACCCAAAAAGCTTCTTCCCAAACAAGTTTTTATCCTCCCAACCCAACCCAACCCAACAGAGAGAGAGAGAAAGAGAGAGAGAGAGAGAGAGAGAGAGAGAGAGAGAGAGAGAGAGAGAGAGAGAGAGAGAGAGAGAGAGAGAGAGAGAGAGAGATTTTGTACTGTTAGTCGGTTTATTTTGTAATGTTTGTACGCTTTGTTATTTTGTAATGTTTGTCGGTTTTTTTTGTAATGTTTGTACGCTTTGTTATTTTGTAATGTTTGTCGGTTTTTTTTTGTAATGTTTGTAAACTTTGTTATTTTTGTGTACCGTGTTTATCATTTTTGTCAACCATGTTTGTAATGTTTTTTATGTATAAAAAACACCCGGGTTGACTTTGGGAAGGAGCCCCTCTATATAGGGATGGAGCCTCCAAAGTCAACCTGGGTGTTTTTTCAGTTCGTATGGATTGTCGGTATAGTTTGTCATTTTTGTCCACCATGTTCGTACTGTTTGTATGTCTAAAAAACACCCGGGTTGACTTTGGGAAGGAGCCCCTCTATATAGGGATGGAGCCTCCAAAGTCAACCCGGGTGTTTTTTCTTTTTGTATGGTTTGTATTGTTTGTTGGTCTAGTTTGTATTGTTTGTACAGTTCATACGTTTGTAATGTTTGTATGTTTTGTCGCTCTAGTTTGTACTGTTCGTATGTTTGTATGGTTTGTACTGATTGTAAATCCAGTTTGTATACTTTGTAATTTTCCATAATACCCAAACTACCCCTGTCATTAATTAAATAGCCCTTCCCACTTTTTAACCATTAGATTGAAGTGTCCAGATCTAATGGCTAGGAGGGGCTTAGTCAAGTGACTAAGGACCCCGCCTTAGTCATGGGATCCGCTCTCCTTTGGAAGACCATAACTTTGTGCTCCGAAATCCGAATGTCAAGAATTTTTTTTTATTTTGCATAACTTTTTAAGGACTTCAACTTTTACCAGGAAGGAATTTTCAAAACAGGAAATATTCTTGGATATACGAGATTTGGGGAATAACTTTGCCTTTACCTTTTACAAATCCAAATACATTCGGAAATATGGTTGATATAAAAGTTGTAGTACTTATAAAGTTATGCAAAATAAAAAAAATTCATGACGTTCGGATTGCGGAACACAAAGTTATGGTCTTCCAAAGTTTGGCAAAATAGAAAACTTACTCGGTCGGGGTAGCAAACGACTTTTTTGGAGATGAATGCGTGACCAAACCACTTTTGAATGTTTGCCGCTTGCAAGATCTCGAAAAATCATGCGGAATCAATTTTTTTTTCTAAGATCGGATTACGGAGCTCAAAGTTACACCTGTTTGAAATTTCCGCGCAGATCAGACATTCATCGCGGCCGACAGCCGCGGTGATGCATTCACTGCTGTCCTCTACTACAGTGATGCATTCGCTGCTGATGCATGTCACTGCGTTTATCGGCTGCAGTGATGCCCAAACATGTGTAGATTGAGAATTTTTCATAAAACATGTGTATTTTGAGAAAAAAAAAATTAAAAAACGTGTGTATTGTGGGATTTTTCCATCACCCACATCTCTCTGTTTCCTCAATCATCTCAAACGTGACCAGTAGGTTTGGGTCGGAGGTTTTTCAAAAGATTTCCCCCGCCGTCGGTGTCGGAAAACATAAGTATCTTTCAATCCTTCGGTGGGAAGTTTTCCCGAATTTGCCGGCAGGAAGCGTAGCCATCCAATTCCTAAAGCCCCTGCAACTTGCCCAACCCTGACTTTATCTGGTTTTGACCAGTGTTGTCAAAATCGAACCAGACATTGATTCGAATTAATAAGAGGTTAATGGTTTATCGAATACTTTTGATTAACTGGTATTAAAACCGGTCATAAACCCGTGCTTGGCTCCAAAAAGAATAAAAAAGTATAGATTAAGAATTAAAAAAATCAAAACGCTAATAGTGGTGGGCTGTAGGAACTAGGAACTAGGGAGTATTCGGTTACCTTCTTTCAATTTCATTAATAATTAACTAAAAGAAACCAAAAATGTAGGCGCCAATTAAGTTTTCCCAGCTCGCCCATTTTTTTCCTTCCAGGACAGGACTTGTGCCCAGATCCGATTTTTACCGATCTGACCGGCCGATCCGGCCCAATTTTCATAACACTGGTTTTGACGGGCTACCCCTATAATATGACTGGTTGGGGCCATTTTATGTCCAGTTCCAATCGGACCCGGCCGTCCAACAGGATAAAGGTTGACAACTTGGGTGCGAAGTTTATTATTGGGCATTGTTATTCGTCCCCTAAAATTCATTATTTGTCGCCCTAAACTAAGTTAAATTTACTCTAATGTCTTTAGTTTATTTATTTATTTTTCAAATACTTAAACTCAAATCAAATTAATATACTACACCAAATAACAAAATACAAGAAAAAGGAAAACAAGCAATCCATAGTCCACTTCATCGGAGGCCTAATCGTCATCGTCATCACCATCGCCGAAATCCGGCCACTTCAACCCGTCCGATGCCTACAAATAGAAATTAGAAAAAATCCAGCGTACGCCTCTGGTCGAGTGCTTCTTCCTGCTCGACGCCAACAGAAGGAGCAGTCGTAGCCTTTTCTTCGTTCTTCTTCTGCCTGCTTGGGAGGATATATACAGAAATTAGGAAAGTATCATCAATCAAGAGGATCTCAAAGTACCATTGAAGATACGAACGGGACGATAAGGAGATGCACAAGGCAAGAAGCTAGAGACAGGCATGGAGAGCAAAAGACACAAGCAACAAGAGCAATACTATGTGATTAGTGAACTTAGTGAGGAGTGTGTGATCTCATCAATAGCTTGAGTGATTGTGATTTATTATTTATATGTGTAATCTTCCTTTAGCTGAGAGTTTGTGGGTGAGGAAGATAGTTGTACTTAGCTTTGTTATGTCAAGGGTTTGAGTTCCACAAGAAGGATCTCGGCTGAAAGTTAGAAATCAGAATAAGGAGAAAAAGTTAGAAAACTAAGTCTTAAAGGGTGAGCCACCTTTGAACCGAGGCGTAATGTCGTAAGGACGAACTTGATTAACAAAACATCTTCGTGCCGTGTTCTCCTATGCCTAACTTGCTCTGCATATTGTCTTTGGTTTGCTAGTGCTCTTTTCTTGGTTGAATGGGTTGATCATTCAGATCGTGACAGGAAACAAACTAGTGTTTGAAGTGGGGGCTTAATATGTTAACCTGAGCTTTAGAGGTTATGTGGGTCGCACGTTAAGTCCACGAGATAAATTGATTCATCTTCTTTCTTACCTCGTTGTTCCTATTGTTACTTATCTTATACTAATTATTACAATTGAGAAAAGATATTTCATTAACAAATTATCTTATACTAATCATTTTCTTCTTTCTAAACAGAGCATTAGCAAATTATGTGTTAGCACCTAACCGAATCCAGTTTTTGACCCACCCTGCATCTCTGTAACTCGTAAGGATTGAATTTTGGAAGAATAGGCCACCAATGTTTTTGCTTTCTCTAAGTGAGACGAGATTGTATTGTTGCCCCTCATGATTAGATAAAATGAACTAGATGTGTTATAATTATTTTATTTTTATTAAATTGATTGAAATGAAGTACTCCGTATCATTGGATTGAGAAATTTGAAACTAGCCAAAGGTTTGGATTTTATATATGTTGAGATTTTGGACTGATTCGTGGGTTGGGGTGGTGTAGAAATGGCATGGAATATAATATCCTGGTATCCTGAAAGTTTCAACAATGGATCCACTTGATGTGCCTTGTTTGCATAGTGAAAATTGAATACGATATTCAATAAGAGACAAAATTTATTTTTGCTCAAAATTGAGGGTTATAATAACTTTTTCCAAATAATTACTTCTCTTTGCAATGTAAAATTTATGTATAAGGAAAAAGTTTTGAATCCTTCCATTTCTCCCTGAATTTCCCACATCCTCGATTTTTCCTCCTTGAGAGGGTTAATGAAGTTGAAGACTCTGGCTTCGAAATTGAGCGACAACGGTTATAATAACTTTTCCCCAATAATTACTTCTCTTTGCGATGTAAAATTTATGTATAAGGAAAAAGTTTTGAATCCTTCTATTTCTCCCTGAATTTCCCACATCCTCGATTTTTCCTCCTTGAGAGGGTTAATGAAGTTGAAGACTCTGGCTTCGTCCTTGACTACATAAAAAGAATCTAGAAACAACGATGTCTTTCTTCATAAGAATGAGGCTTCTAGGGGCGTTCAAATGATTACCATGGTAATTACCAAACCAAATACGTCTAAATTCTATTAGCTTTTGAATTCAATATCATAACCAAACCATCCAAACTAATAAAACAACCATATTAACCAAATTAAAATTTAATCGGTTTGGTTGATTGGTTAACCAAAAAAATCAATATAAGATCACATTATCGAGAAAATTTTCTAGCTAATGCATCAATTCGCAATTTATAAAATGAATAACACATAGCAATCAACACATACTTATTGTTAACCCGTAACATAAATACATGTAACTAATAGAATTATCTTACAATTAATAAATGTATTCACTTAACAAAAATATATGTAAGTGGTACGAGGTTAATGAATTGTTGTGTTTTATGTGAATTGACTTAGTCTCTTAGTAATTATCATAGACCGAAAAAACATTCATTTCAAGTTTTCATCCAAAATAATATATCTAAATTAGGCGTTCGGATGTTATGGTCTACAATTTACAAATACATATATACAATATAGGAATAATGTTGAACTTTATTTTTACGAGTTTAGAAGGGAGTAACGTTTGACTCTTGAGTGGTTATGCAAACTTTAAGTATGAATATATAATATATATATTATAATTATATATATGACTAATTATTTAACCGATTAATTTGGTTTGATTGATTAGAAGTATCTAAAATCAAACCAAACTACCTAAACCAAATAAGTTAAAAATTTTAACCAAACTAAACCAATTATCAAAATTATCCAAATACTATTGCTTAAAATGATTACCACGATAACCACTCTTTTTCAACCCAGAACACCCCTAGATTCTCCCTCTCCCGTTTCTGACAAAGTACCAATGAACAGAAACGCTGACAGAGACCAAAAAGGCAGACTCGGTTGAATCTAAAGTCTAAACTAATAATGCGCCTGTCTTCTGTATCCGTCTCTTAATCCAATTCAGAAACCAAGCTATATGGACAGGTAAATCTTAGGTAGATGCTCATGTGTTGTATCACCAACAAGAAGGTTGACATAAATGGCAAGAAACAGCAGGAACAGAACGATAACTCTATTCTTTTAGCATCAATGCATCATCAACCAAAGTCCACAGATGACTGTTTTCCATTATGCACAAACCAAGCCGGAGACTTTTAGCCTACGGAACCCGGATAGAATGGCACTAGCCCCACTACGATTATCAAATTCCAAAAACACTCGGTTAATCACCAGCGGCGAATCATATTTACAGAACAATTGCCCATCATAACCACTAGACTATAACTAATTGCAAAAACAGTGGCTCTTTGCTTTCCATGGTATGCTGAATCAAACACTTGCCTCCCACAGTCATGAGACATGATAGGTTGAAATAATAAATACCAAGCTACAAGGAATAAGAACCCCACCATTCCATATGTTTGCATATTGATTGAAAACTTATAGGAAACAATATTGTGCGGGAACTGATTTATAAGTTCTGACCTTGAGACCTTTAATCAATGAAAACGTGAACAATCGACCAGCAAGTCAGCGTCCAAACGGATCTAACGGAAGAGCCTTGGCACTGATCTTTTTGGTACTTTCCCTTCGAGCTTTAGTCTTCTATACGATTCTCTAATGTGACAAGGTCTTATTGGTCCAGATTCATTTCTTTCTGTCATCACCATTCTTGCTACAAACACATATGGAAACACACCATAGGTTAGTTCACTGAAATTCACCCCAACAGATTTGGTAGAATGAAATCAACTGAAAGATTTCTAATCTTTTGAAACGCCAACTATGGGAACTTACTGTCCTACGAACACTGAAGTAACTTATCTGTCTGATAAACTAAAGCGGTATGCGTTATCCATACCTGTTTCAATAAGTTCGCCGACAAACATTTTGGCTATCCCACAAACTACAATGGTTACTGGCATAGAAATCTTTTGTGACCCTGTAATGCTTACCAACAACTGCAATTGGCAAAAACAGGAAGATTCATGGGTTAATCAGCGGCATTAAAGAATCAACTAAAACTCGATCAATGGCATAGAAGATGTATTTGCAGTGACCTTGATAAAGTTTTGACAGCATATCAGACACTTGGGAGCCACACAAAAAAAAATCATCTAAACTCGCAGAGACGAAACGAACTTTACTCCTGCAGACCTCAACGAAAGGGGTTGTTGAGAAGTAATTCAAGTGAAGGGAGATCAAAAAGTCTCCATGAAACATGTAGATGTCTATTGAATGACTTGATAGGTTTCAGTATAGCTAAGTGGAGCGAGGCATGGAAAGTGAGACAGCAATCTAGAGTTCAAAGCATCTGGAAAGGAAGTTATTGATCAAAAGGAATAACAGAATGGGCACATACCCTTCTCATGGTAGCTTTCTGAAGGGCAGATCTCCGGAACGATTCGTATCTAGTCATCTGGTCTTCTGTGAACTGTGATAGAATAGTTCTGAAACATGAAAGCAAAGTGAATCAGATAGATGCATCTTTCATTCCTCCTGACACATTGAATACTCCACCAACTCAGCAATCATAATTTTGGGGCTGGCTTGAACCAATCCATATAGTGTAGAGCTCGACAAGGCATTTGAAGTAGTAGTTCACAATTCTTTCAGAGAACAGAATCGTTCCTACTCGGGGCCAGTTGTAAGCCATAACAAATCTTTCAGAGAACAGAAACTAATCAAGTGACAACTTGGTTCTGGTTCATACTGGGAGCCAGTTGTAAGCCATACCACAACAATGCAGTTGAACCTTTGCTGGACATAGCCAACTACCCTCTTACGTTCGTGATCAAATTCAACGAGGGAGGATGAGAGGGCATGAAAGAGAAACCTAAAGAAGAAAGAACTCACTGCATCTTGGCCATTTTATTAGGGTCGCCACTTGCAGGGAACTTAGCTAGCTCAACTTCCATGTTCTCCTCCTCTTCATCTTCGTCTTCCTCCTTGCTCTTGCCCTTAATTTTAGCGGAGGCCGAGGCGGGAGCCGAAGGCGAAGGGTCGGAAGGATTGACATGCTCGGTTTCTTCGTCATCTGGGGCGGTGGCTGCGTTCTGAGAAGCGGGTGCAGCAGCGGAAGGAGGAGAAGCTGGTCGGCGGTCGTAGTCCGCAGGGGCAAGCGGTGAATCGGGCGGGGATTCTTCCTGCTCCTCGTACGCAGCCTCGAAGGGATCCTTCGATTGATTCATCTTTCGTAATTTTTTCCCTTCAATTTGGCGGTTTTGGTTCAGCGGGGTTTCTATTGGCTGAGTATTTTGTCGAACAGGTGGAGTGCGAAAGGAAAGATCAATCGAAGAAGACCAAACAAATAGGAGAGAGGGATTATTCGGATTGCACAGTTCTTTCAGCACGGCGAGACTTCCGGCGGCGGAGGTATAAGGCAAAGACAGATTCCGGCGGTAATGCTCGAGATATAATAGACTTATGAGGTTCTGACGAGTTAAGAGGACTACTGATTTAAGAAGACTGGGCCCAACCTACATCAAAAGCCCACTTGTAGTAGGTACTCCACTACATCGCTTCCGTTTCGAGCAAGATTGTCAAACCGGTTTATACCGTTGTGTCGGTTTGGCAAATGAAATGGTACGACCGGTGGTATAACCAGTTTGTGCCGGTTCATGCCGGTTTAAAAAAATGTGAAAACAATTAATATCCAATGTATCTAATCATATATAAAACATATTTGTGGACAATTTAGTTACAATCCAACAAATATCATCAACTTTTAACTATTACATTCATAAAATGAATAATAAATTAATTTTTTTTATTCATTAAATTCATTAAAATGATGTCATTTTACTTAGAATGGTTAAGTTGATCATACCGGTCATACCGGTGGTGTCATGTCGGTTTCATGACCAGCACAGGTTGAACCAGGTTCAATCGGTTGGCATGCCACCGGCACGCCAACCATGGTTTCGAGAGTCGATTCCCAAAGAGTTAATATCATTCCCAAAGAATTATACTGATTTAATATCATTTTGTACACCCTCAAATAAGAAAACAAAATTGAATTAACAAACGTGACTTTATACTAAATTTTTCACAAACATACCCTTATAATATTAAAACGTAACAAGTTTACCATTCCATCCATTTATTCTTTAAGTGACCGTTAAAAGAGTTGTTAAATGACGCAGTTGGCCCTCATTTACTCCTAAATACTATAATTAGGTTTTAATTATTTTATATCCCAAATATATTAATTAAAAAATTCAAACCTAAACTATCACAGTACCAAGGTGGAAATCTGGTCCTGTGGGGTCATTTTGTTCGTCCTTATCGACGGCTACTTGCCTTTCAACGGCAACAACTCATGACAATTAGATTTACAAAGGCCAGTTTCGTTACCCCAAATGGACCTCGTCGAGCTTCGTCAACTTCCTGTTCCTCCTCCCCGACACCAATCCGGAGACGAGGATCACCGCCGACGAAATCCAGCACGACCCCTGGTTCAACAAGGATTACAAGGAGACGAGTTATTGCCAGGTGGTGGAGGATTTCGACTTTGGCGGCAGCGAGCGCAGCATCAATGCGTTCGACTTGATTTCTTTTTCCTCTGACTTTGACCTCTCCCGCTTGTTTAACGAGCCCGACGACTACACGTCTGCCTGCGGCGGCGGTCGTGACTGCGGAAAAGGGAGATATATGGTTTCTGCCCTTTTGGTCGACTGCAGTTTAGGGTTTGTTTTTTTTTTTAATTAATATATTTGGAATATAAAATTATTAAAACTCAAAATTAGGAGTGTCTAAGAGTGGTTCCGGATACTATAACAACACCCTTGTTGTTGTTATAGTAACAACAAGATTCATTAAGGATAAAAATGTAAAACACATAATTCACGTAATGAAAATCAAAATTATTCTCCGTGATCTCTGTCTTTCTTCCTCCCCGAGAAATAGCAGCAGCCAGATTGCGACAATCTTTTCTCTTCGGCGACAATCCTCATCTCTGCCATCTCCGGCGGCAATCTGCATCTCTCCCATAGCCGGCGCCATCGCACCAGCTTCCTCACCAAGGTTATGGAAAGAAACTCTCTCACTTCTCCGGCCGTCTACTGAAGCTGTGGAATCGGCGCCAATTGAAAGGAGCGGCCGGAGCAGAGGTTGGGAGGCGGAGTGAGGAAGATGGAAGACGAGCGGCTGATCGGGGAAGGATGGCGGGAGCGTGAGATATCCAAAGAAGGTTGTGATGATGGCGGCGGAGAGTGCCGGAGGGGAGAGCTTTTTGAGCAGCGGAGAATGCCTTTTGTGGTGGCGGTGGTGTTGGAGCTGACGCCTGGACGGATCTCCCGTTTGAACGGGACGGTGCCCAGTTTCTTGAATGACTCGTCGATCTCCACTGCGTGCACACAAAATGGTTTGCAATCATGAGGATCCCCATAGTTTACGACATTAGGGAAGTTTTAATGTGTTTGTTAATTTCCAAATGATTTGTGAATAGTTAATGTAGATGTAGTAGTGGCAGGAGATGGAGAAGAAGGAATTCTTGTTTTTCTAGTGTTCTATTATATTTCTCATATGCATTTGTTGAGGATATGAATTCGTATTTGTATTTCGAATATTCATTATTGATTCTGAAAAGTTTATTTCAGTTGTTGCTTTTTTCGAATATTCGTTGTTCATAATCACATAAAAAATCTCATAATATAAACCACAAACACGGTAAATCAAACCACAAAAAGCATACCAGAAATTTACTAATGTAGACCACGAGTCTCCTAAAACATACCAAAAACCGCACAAAGCATACCACAAATATTTCTGATGCACACCAGAAACATCATAATACAAACCACAAACACGATAAAAAACCCCACAAAAAGCAAACCAGAAACATCCTAATGTAGACAAAAAATCCCCTAAAACCTAATAATGCAAACCACAAACATGTTAAAACAAACCACAAAAATAAACCAGAAACATGCTAATGCAAACCACAAACCTATTAAAACATACCAGAAATCCCGCAAAGCAAACCGCAAATTTTTTGAATGCACATGATAAACTTCTTAAGGCAAACCACAAACACAAGAAAAGACCACAAAAGGTTACCAAAAATATGAGAAACCAAACCATAAATCTCACAATGCATACCACAATATCCAGTGATTGTTGACCATTGATTTTTCGTCAAAGAAGTTATTTTTCAAAAAGGATTCGTTTCCAACTAAATGATTGAGCTCAATGTAGTTGAAATTGCACTTTAAAGTTTAAAAACTTACGCATTTACGCTTCTAGATCACCAAAACACTTCTACGCATAATCGCATTTAATGTAGTTAAAAACTACAATTTAAATTCTAAAAACTTACGATTTTACGCTTATAGATCACCAAAATACTTGTAGCTAGAAACGCGCTTTTGACTACATTGGCTCATAGCTAGTCTGTAAATTTATATAAATTTGGATTACATTCATTTTATAGAGGGAATCACATTTATTACTTTCCAAATATATGAACTCTCTCTTTGTTATGGAAATTAATGTCCTAGATAAAAGTTAAAACTGGAACTCTTTGTCAGCTTCTTTTTTTCAAACTTTGGCTTCTCGCATAGGAGGATAATCAATTAGTATTAATAATAAAATAATTATTGAAAGTGAAATGGGCATTAATTAAAAGTGTAGTGCACGCGCATGAGGAAAAAGCTCAGTACATGCGTGCGACATGGGATGAAACTTTTGTAGTGACCATCATGCCCTTCCTTTAATTTTAACTTATAAAAATTCAGTCAACTAATAAAATTAAAAAGTATGCAGAATGATGGCTTCTTATTGGCGGTCCTATATTATTGTCACCATAACAACAAATATGGTGTTGTCATCGTATCATATCCCTCTAAGAGTAAATGAAGGGGCAATTGGGTCATTTCATAAATCTTTTAACTGTCACTTCACGTATAATTGGATGGAAGGATAAATTCATTACGTGTTAATATTAGAACAGTATGTTTGTACAAAAACTTAGTAGATGGGTACGTTTGTTAATTCACCATAATAAAAGGGATACAAAAAGTTATTAACCCGATTTCCAAACCCTTAAAAGTCAGTTCCTGCTACGCTCGCCTCCGCCGTCAAATCTCATATCCACCCCGCTCCTGCGGCCAATGAATTAGCTGAGAGTCCAATGGAAGGAGCTGAGTGGAAGACGGCGCAGATTCGGCTGGTGAGTTCACACCCTGAGGTATACGAGCCCTGCGACGATTCCTTCGCCTTCGTCGACGCCCTCGTCGCCGATCGAACCAACTTGCTCCTCCACCGCCCCGCCATCTGCCTCGAAATCGGCTGCGGCAGCGGCTACGTCGTCACTTCCCTAGCCCTAATGCTCCGCCGCCGCCTACTTCCTCGCCACCGACATCAACCCTCACGCCCTCAATGTCACCGGGGAGACCCTGGCGGCGCACGGGGTCGAGGCGGAGCTGGTCCTCTCCGACATCGCGTCACCGTCTGGCCGGGAAGGTGGATCTGATGGTCGTGAACCCGCCCTACGTGCCGACGCCCGAGGACGAATTCGGCTCGTCGGGGATCGCGGCGGCTTGGGCCGGCGGAGGGTGATCGATCGGATTCTGCCGGCGGCGGATAGGCTGTTGTCGAGCAAGGGTTGGTTGTACATGGTGACCCTGACGGCGAATGACCCATCGCAGATATCCCGGTTGATGAGGAGGAAAGGGTACGCCTCGAGGATCGTGGTTCAGCGATCGACGGAGGAGGAGAATCTTCATATCATCAAGTTTTGGCGGGATGCAGAGGAAGAATCCGCCCCCGCGTCGCCGCCGGCTACGATTGCTGGGAGAGTGATGGGGTCTTTGGTCTCACATTTGCCTCGATTGTTGTCGTTCCGGGGAAGTATTTAGAATGTATGATTGATTGATATTTGAAATATTTTAAGTGCATTGACTGGGAACTATGAGCTTGTTGCTTGCCCATGTCCATGTGTAAATGTTTGCTGTACAAGTAATGGCTGCAATCTTTGAGAAGTAGTAAGATAGTTGGCTCGCAATAGAGTTCAATTTTCAGAGAGGCTATTGTGATTAGGGCTGGGAAAATAGATCAGACCGTTAGAAAAATCGTGGTCCAAATCATACCGCACAGTTTGGTCCGGACCGTAGACCGTGAAGTATGGTCTATATTATTTTATGATTTGATCTCTTGGTCTGGTCTAGACCGCGGTTTACCGGACCAAACCGTGGACCCAACTGACTTGTTAATACGTGTTAACAGCTCATTCGACCACTCTCCAAACTCCCACAACGACACCCAAGTCTCAACCTTAATTTTGTGAATCTCTTCCCTCCTTCATTCACAACCACATTTAACCACAAAGTAGAGATAATCATGTCTCCATATGACATTATGTTAATGTTTATGACATTATGGTGCAAGCTGAGATGCTTTTACTTTGTATCTTTGTTATGTAATATGATTTAGAGTATCAAAATTATTCATACATGTTAGGATTAATGTTTTAAGGCAAATAACAATTATTTTTCTTGGTTATTGGTTCAATTTTTTGTGTGGTTGACTAAAGAAATTATTCATTTTTCGCTGAGTGTGGTCTATATGGACCAGACCAGACCGAACCAGACCGCACAGGCGTGGTCTGGACCGGACCGTATAGTCTGTGGTCTGGTCTGTGGTCTATATTTTAGCCTCTCGGTCTAGACCGTAGACCGTATATATGGTCTGGTCTGGACCAGACCGCACCGTTTCCCAGCCCTAATTGTGATTAATCATTTCATCTCTCTCATTATGAATCTTAGCTTCATAAGTTAGTGCACAAACACAAGTAGATGAAATCTCATAATAGCTAGATAATAATGGATGGATAACTAGAGATGGAGAGTAGGTCTGATAAATACAAATACACCAAAAAAGTCGGGCCAGTTATTCACATTAGCTAAGCTGCCAGGGCAACTATGAAGGTTGTTAAGCGGTTTAACTCGTTGGTCTGGTCGAATCAATGGCAGTTCAAAAAAGAGTGTAATTAATATGAGTTTTTAATTTTCAAAAATTATTAAATGCAACACAAATTTAATACAAAAAATAACTATAATTAATAGGGTGTTATTTTTCCAAGGGTTAGCATGCTAACCGACTCCTTCTCACTTTACTATTCTCTCGCTTCCCCAATCATGGAAACACAACTGAATGCGAAACAAATCTGACGGCCAAATCCTTTCCATAACTAATTCTCTTACCTTCTTCCCCGTCCATAAATGGAACCCCTAATTTTTCGACCCACCCACCACTCTTCTTCTTTGCCCGCTCTCTCTGCCACTGTCTTTTCTCCAGGCAGATCATGCAATGCATAAGCCCTATTAAGGAATGCATGAATGACAGGGTCACCAAGATCGTGGTTGACTGCGGCGGGAGAGCGGCCCAAAGAAGAAGTGCGGCCGATTCCATCCAGAGAAAGGGCGTCGATTGAAGCTTCAGTTGCGGGTAGAAGATGAAGAACGATGGTCACCGATAATTGTTTTGGTCTCCTCTCTCCAACCTCCAAAATCACGCAGAATGGCAGAAGAGGGCATGGTCGATTACTCTAAACGACGCTGGATGCTTCCAAACCCGCTGATTCGGTCGCTCGGGCCAACCGCACAGATTTGGATGGGTTTGATCGGGTTTGAATAGGTTTGACCGAGTCCGTGCCAAAGCTTTATTGGGTCATTGACACCGGTTTTGATGGACGAGTCCGGGTTAATCTGGGTCGATTAGCGGGTTAACAACCTTGAGAACTAGTTTGAAGGATTAAGGTGATTTACTATCCTGACAACCAATCACATTCAATCAGTAGGTCACGGGCTACCTCGGCCAAAAGCTACATGCCTAGCCCATGGTTCCAACTTCCAATTAGTCAAATTGGGATGACAAAATAACATATCCCCCCCCCCCCCACCAAAATAGAAGAATTACATTTTGAAATTCCCTAAGGGGTCGTTTGCTTCAAGGATTTGCATCATGGATTTCGTAAAAAAAAACCAACTATTAAGGATTTACATACAATCCTTTGTTTGCTTGGTCCAAAAATGTTGAAACAAATATGTAAGCCCCACAGATTTAGGTTTTTTTTCACTCCAAATTCATGGGGCCCACAGCTTTACAAATCCCACATGATTATTAGGGAATTGGTGATGTGCTGAAAAAAACAAGAGGCCAATTGACACTCCTATCCTCATTCTTTTTCATTAAACCAAAATTACCCTATTTCATCTCCACCGTTTTGTCGCTTCGCTTGCACTCCCCCTGCCTATTCCTTACTCACCAAACCAGGAAGCCTGCGAAGAGTACTTCCCTTCCTGGGAAATTGCAGCCGACATCAACCTCCGATGTCGAGTCTGCGTTTAGCCGGCATCAACCTCCGACGGCATACTCGAAACCCAGGTGAGCAGGACACTCTGTTCCTTGCGTTGAGTCGTTGTTCTTAGATGAGCTTTCGCAAATCATAGCAATCATATATATAGCTGTCATAAGTCAATTGAAAGAATCAAAATTTTCTCCGCATCAAACAATATGCTGTGGTCCACCAAGTTGTTTTGTTTTTTGCATAACACATGTGGGATGTATGCGAAACTTTTTTTTTGTGCAAGGTTAACTCATGCGGTATTTAGCCATTGCAAGTGTTTGCCGGTGGAAAACCATCATTTTGTAGAAGTTTCCTTTCATCCCAAATGTTATAGCTGTGTTAGACTTATGGTTGCTGGTTTTAAACGGTTGTGAAATGCATTTTTGAGTTATGAAAGCTACTCTGTGGCTCTGGTTTTTCATAGCTGTTATAGTTAGCTGATTATGTGAAATCATGATACTCTTCTTTTTAAAGTTTCCTATCGGCTAATAATTTGACAGGATCTTTTCCAGATTCTCTGCACTCTTTACCTCTCTTAACAAATATATAAGTCCTGGATGTGCATTATTTGTTATGTTCAGGTTTGCAAATTCAGCTCACATATTGACTTCTGCACTTCCAGGTCTCTGAACGACAAGTAGAACTGAAATATATGGTAGCCTAGCCTTGGCAGAGCATTCTTTCCAGATTCGATATCAAATAGGCAATACATAATGATACACATGCATAACTCGAATGAAAACACCATGATATACAACAACATGGCCTAGTTGAATCAGTTCCTACTTGTACGCTCTAACTCTAGCCGCTCTATCTTCTGCTTGATGATTTCCAGTTCAATGAACAACTCAATTGGTTCATGTATTCCAGCTCCATCCTTCATAACTCTCCCTAACAAACTGCGAAGCTGTCTATTTTCAGTTTCCAACCTTGTAACCTTTGCAGACAACATTGAAGTTGCTTTGAACACTGCAGCTCTAATGTCATACCATTCAAAGTAATGGCACGCTTTCTTAGTGTCTGAGGGACTGAACCGTGGGCATCCAAAAAACTTGCGATTAGGATTGCCAGAGGTACATGAAATTCTTCTAGCCGCTCTCAGCCCGCAATCACATAACACCTCTTTCTCCTCGTAATGGAATGCATCCAAAACTGCTATCTCCCTTCCTCCGCTTGCCATGAGATGTCTGCAATTGGTAATTGGATTTTTTTCTGCCTTGAAAGGAGAAATCATCTCCTACATCAAGAATCTAAAATATAAATGGGAAGCAGCATAATGGAAGGAGAACGTACCTGCTGTCAAACGTAGCAAAGCGGACCAGAAAAAGGATAATGGATGAGTGTCGGTTTCCTTGACAGATCAGAACGAATTGGGAAAAGGGTTTCGTGGCTGCTAACAAGGAAAGAAAGGAAACGCATAACAATGGCAAACCCTTCCTTTTAATGGGTTAAAAAAAGGGCAATAAGGTAAATGCAATTTTTTATTTCTAAAACCCAAACCATTAAATCCATGATCAAAATGAAGAAACAAACGAAGGATTTTTCCAAATCCAAAATGCCCCAAATCCCAAATAAAACCTTAGGTTTTTAAATCCCACGTTTAAGTAAAATCCCTCATTTTACAATCCTTGAAGCAAACGACCCCTAAATGGTGGTAGGTTACAAATATGTCCCAACATGGCGTGCTTTGCTGAGTTGGCCGAGGAAGAGCAATGTCGCTAGAGTACTAAGCAACATAGGCTTATGTCGTTAGCTTGGAAGGCGACATAGAGCTGACGTGGCAGTGTCGCTTTCAGCTGAGATTTATAGAGATATGGCTAGATTTGTGGGTGTACAATCGTTGCTGGAGATAGTGTCAACATATTGAATATCGCCTATCTGGTCAGCGGCATTGTTGCAGCAAAACACACAAATCTATTCTTTATAACCCATAGCAATCATTCATCAACATTTCTTCATTCTCTTGCTGCTCTTCCTCCCTGCAGCTCTTTCATTATCCCTACTTTCTTCCATTCTTCATAACTTTCTTCTTGTCTTCAACCTAATACCATAGCATAACTTTCTTCATACTATCTTCCTCCCTACTCCCTTGGTAATGCAGGTAAGAAAAGTTATTTTAATTAACCCTTTTACCAAATATACATTTTTTATTCCTATATATGAAGTGTAATATGGATGGCCGGTATATTTAGCTGGAGCAAATCTTTGACAGATGGTCTAACGTACATTAAATAAAAAACAAGAAGGTTAATTCTTTTGTACTTGTCGATTAGGTTTAAATGTACCACTTTCCTAGTTATTCATTCCACCCTTGATCCAACAAGTATTTAGGCTAACTCCAATGGAGCCTCTATAAATGGGGGAGTCTCTATATTTGGGGGAAAGTTGGCTTCAATGGAGTCTCTATAAATGGATGGGTCTCTATATTTGAAGGAGATTTGCAAAAGGATCCCCAAATTTGGGGGTGAAAATGGGGGTTCCCCCAAATATAGAGACTCACCAAAGCCCGCCACGTGGCGTTTCTTTTTCTTTTTAAGATTTTAGGGGTTAATTGGGTTTAATTAGAGGATTAGTTAGGGGTTTAATTAGATCAATAATTTTCAAGTGTTGTGCGTAAACCCAAATTAGGTCAATCATTTTTTATAAAATAAAATTTTGTTTCAAAATTAAAAAAATTTCTACCGGAAAATTTGTATTTAAAATGATGATGAAGTATACAAAAATTTACATGAACAAATTATATTAAGGCTTCGATAAGTACATTTTTACGTAAATGAAAAAACTGAAAAAATTAAGATCCTCAAATATGGAGATTGAAGCATTATAGCAAAAGAAGGGAAAATGAGGATCAATCCCCAAATTTGGGGTTTTGCATTAGGAATTAGGAGTTATCACACTTCTTGGGCGTCTTTTCATGACTATATATAGTTATATTTTAGAGACAATTGATATTTTGAATTATGCATTGCAAACCACAATCCCTACTCTCTTTGTGCGATACAAATTATAGAAAATCAGGTGTTCATATGGGGTTCACAAGAGGGAAAAGGAAGGTTGACCTTGTTTATTGGGCAACCATATGTAAAAAAAGGACTAAGCTTGAGATTAGTGAGAACTTGTCCCATGGTCGAAAAATCAAATTTTCCAATTCAATTTCCCACCATACCAAAATCAATTAAAAAAATTGGTACATTCGTATGAGACCTTGATGGGATCCCAAGATGCATGAGATATTGTTGAGAAAGGTTACGAGATTCTTGCATAGGATTCTCGATTAACTCCTACTGAAAAGGAAGCATTGAGAAAGAATAGAAAGAGTGATAAAAAAGCACTCACCCCTATTAATCAAAGTCTTGATGAATCTATGTTCGATCAAGTAGCAGATACTACGACTGTTAAAGAAGCATGGGATATTTTGCGAAAGGAAATGCAAGGCGTGGAACAAGTAAAGAAGGTTCGACTTTAGACACTCCGGGGAGATTTCAAATCAATGAAAATGAAGGAGGGTGAGTCTCTGTCAGAATACACCACTTGAGTAAATCTGTCGTCAGTAAACTGAAGCAGTATGATGAGAAAATTGAAGAAATCACCGTGGTGGAGAAAATACTAGGATCACCATTACCGAAGTTTGATTATGTGGTGGTGGCCATGGACGAAGCTAAAGACTTATCGCCTATGTTTGGCCCAGCTTTTAGAAGTGTTTTACGGCTTCAAAAGCTTAAGCAGCGCCAAACATCTCTAAAAGCTCGATTTTTGAAAAGTCGAATAGTACTTTTGTATAACATAAAAGCAGAAGCTCCGATTTGGAGCTTCTGTGAAAAGCTGTTTTGAAAATACAAGATTATCTTTACCATATTTTAATTCTATTTAAGAAAATATAATTTTATTTCATTTTAAAAAGAAAATAAATTATAAAATAAATTATTCAGTATAAAAGGAATCTAACAAGATCCATATTCACTACTTTTTATTGTTTATAATTTTTATTCATATTTAACATTATAAATCCTTTATAGTAATTTTACATAACTTCTTATATTAAAAATCACTTCTTATAGTTTTTCCGCCAAACACTCAACTGCTTTTTTTGAAAAGTAATTCTTTAAAAGCTCCAGCCAAAAGCTGCTTCTGCAAAAGGTACAACAAAGCCAAACTAGCCCATCAAAATTGATGGTGGATAAAGTCATCGACTCACTATAAGTTAGATAAGAAAGGTTGGATAAAATAAATGGAGAATCGCCTGAGCAATTCTTAGCCACGAAGACTGTAACTGAGGAGAAAGAAAGTGCCTGAGGAGGAGGTCCAAATAGAGGTCAAGACAGAGGTTGTTACAGAGGCAGATTAAGAGGAAGAGTCAAAGGATAATATCAAAGCAGAGATGTAGGAAACAAACACCAGGAACTATAATGAAACATCCACCAGAGGAAGAGGTTGTGGTCGTGGACGTGGACGTGGAAGAGGAAGTTGGAGATCAAATGAAGGTCGAGATAAATCCAACATCAAATGCTATAATTGCTTGAAATACGGGCATTATGCATCAGAGTGTTAGAGCCGGCCTAAAGAAGGAACTATACTCATCCGGTTGAAAATGGCTCACATCAGTTTATCAATGACGTGTACTATGTCCTAGATATGACTAGTAACGTCCTGAGTGTGAGTCAACTGTTGAAGAATAGTTATGAAGTCCATATGGTGAATCGTTAACTGGAGCTGTTAAATGAGAAGAAGCAATTGCTGGCCAAAATACCAATGTCGAGAAATAGAATGTTCATTCTGAACATTCAAGCTGAAGTAGCGAAGTGCTTGAAAGCATGTGTAAAGTACACTACATGGCTATGACATCTGAGGTATGCCCATCTAAAATTTGGAGGCGTGAAGTTACTTGGTTAGAAAAAGATGATGCATGGATTGCATTTTATCAATCATCCTAATCAGTTGTGGGAATGATGTTTAGTTGGGAAGCAATTCAGGACAAGTTTCCCGAAAAATTCCTTGTCAAGAGCCAAAGCACCACTTGAGCTCGTACATGCAAATCTTTGTGGACCGATCACTCCAACATCGTTTGGAAAGAATAGATACTTCCTACTGTTCATTGATGATGACTACAGTAGAAAGACATGGGTTTACATCTTGAAGCACAAGTTAGATACATTTGAAGCATTCAAGAAGTTCACGATGCTCATGGAGAATGAAAGTGCCGCTACAACAAAGCTACGAGATCAGATAAAGGGGTAGAATTTATGTTCAAGAAGTTCAAAAGGTTTTGTGAGTATAATGGGATTTGTCGGTTTCTCTTAGTCCCGAGATCCCCAAACCATAATGGAGTTGTTGAAAGGAAGAACAAAATTGTACTCAACATGGTGAGAAGCATGTTTAAAAGCAAGAATCTGCCAAAGGAGCTATGGGCTGAGACTGTTGATGTGCAGTTTACTTGCTGAACACGTCACCAACAATGAGTGTTGGAATCAAACACTCCAAGAAGCATGGAGCAGAAGGAAACCAACAATCTCTCATCTTTGAGTCTTCGAAAGTGTCGGATATGGGTACATACCATAACAAGAAAGGAAGAAGTTGGATAATAAAAGAAAGAAGTACTTATTCCTAGGATACTTTGAACATTCTAAGGGGTACAAGATGTTTGACCTTGTGGAAGAGAAGGTTATCATCAGCAGAGACGTGGTAATTGATGAAGAAGCAACATGTGACTGGACTGCTGAAGCACGAAAGAAGTATACTTTTTATCAATTCACTTTGGATGAAAGTGATGAAGTACTGGATACAGATACACCTGTATCGAGTCCGCCTAGTCATAGAGAGTCCACCAGCCTAGAAGGAAGTTCTAGTAAAATTCCAAGAGAGAGGCCAAAAAAGTATAGATGTGTAGAAGATCTTTATGATGCAACACCAATCATTTATGGTGAACCAGCAGATGTTGAAGATGCCATGAAAGATGAAAAATGGAGAAGAGCCATGGACATGGACAAAGCCACTTTCTCCTAAAACTCTGCCAATCATAATCTATATGCTACATATGTAGAAACATGCATGCATATGTTCTCATCTGAGGTTGTTTGTAATGCCATTGTTGATGTGACTTGAATCAGACTATCAACCGCTACGACGGGAAGTCAAGGGGGTCTCGTTGCCCGGTCAGTGAATGGGGTCCAGGGGCAACACCCCGGTCAGGGGGTTCGGGGGCAGCGCCCCCGATCCATGGTGTATGGGTCGATAGACGTTTGGTTTGTCAGTTTTGGGCCTGGTCTGTAACCGTTTCCTTTTACTATATTGGATTTGGTTTAGACTCAGATAGAAGTATAAATACTTCTCATCTCCTCTATAATCTATAATCTCCTCGATATTGTGAAACTGGCTCTTTCCTGCCCGTGGACTAGCTAACACATATTGTGTTAGTGAACCACGTAAATCGTATGTCTATTTTCGATTATTGCTTTCATATTCTTGCTTTCTCGATATCAGCGACTTCCCGATCCGTAGCAGCGCAATTATAACAAGTGGTATCAGAGCCTGGCTGAAAATCAGACTAGGGTTTCGATTATGAAGAATGACATCGATGAACATGAAGATCGAAAAGTTCACAGGGAATAAATTTCGCTATATGGCAGATCAAGATGCAGGCTTTATTGAAATATCAAGGGTTGTGGGGGCCGCTGTCTGCGAAACAGAAGAAGGCATCGATCGATGATGATGAGTGGAATACCCTGGAGGAGAAGGCCCACTCGACCATCATGCTATCGTTGCCTGATGACATCAT